GAAAGGATACATTTTTGTTCCTTAATGACACCTCCCAGAATAATCCAGCCAGCACAGGTATTCTCATCTCTGGTTCCTTATAATGTGTAGGCTCTCCCATCTCTGGTTTAGGCATGAAGGTGTCTGGGTAGAACCCGCGCTATTTTCCTTATCTCTCATCCTCAGTTGTGCATTTTAAAACTACCCATGATTTTTTAAAAATAAAAGCTGCAATACAGTCCTAATACTGCAAAGGTGCGCAACAGAGAGAGGAAAAGTGCTATCGCAGGCGTCATTTGGGAAATGACTTTCCATCCTGCCTGCTTGAATCCTGTAACCTTGTCTCCCATGATCGATGCATATTCGTTTCTGTGGCTGCTGCCAAAATAACCCGCTGCGGATGGGCCCCCTTCCTTTGCAAGCTTGCCTGCAAGATGAGCTCAAGATGGCTCCCAGAGGTGCAGTTAGCTTCAAGGTAGCTTCAAGGAAATGGGATATGTGATCTGAATCTAGGACCTGTCAAAATGGCAAGCAGGAGGCAGTGGCAACAGCGGCTATTTTTAAACGCTCTCTCTGCTGGGTTGTCCCCACAACCCTTCCTGTTTTCCTAGACTATGTATATTGTGGGGTGAATGAGAATTCAGCAGTTGTTGCAAATTAGCAACAACTAAATGGAAGACACGGATCAGAGTTTCAGAAAGTTCCTTTTTTCAGACTACAACTCCCAGAATGCCCCAACCAGCATGGTTTCTGGAAGTTGGCACTCAGCATCTCCAACCTCCAGTAGGGATCCATCTCATTGATCAGGGTCCTCCAGCTTTTTAGGATTAGGGTCAAAATGCTGATCTGAAAGCTACCCAGGTCCCATGTGGAGTTTCATTTTGTTTTGTGGTGGAAGATCCAACCGTTCTTAAATCATGCCTTGGAAAGTATGATCCAAGTTCCAAAAGATAAAACCAATTAATTCTACAATGAATTAATTAATTTGTTAATGAATAGGACGATGTAATGGTTTGCATCCTAGGTTCAGTCCCTGTCATCTCCAGGCAGGGCAGGTAAAGACCCCTGCCTTCAACTGCTGCCACTCAAGTCAACAACACTGAAATAAATGGATGCAACATTTGACTTGGTATAAAGGCAGCTTCATAAGTTCCCGATTACGGTAGATTTCCTTCAGTAGGAATCTCCTCCTAGTTTACTCAGAAGCAAGTCTTACTGCACTCCACAGGGCTTCCTTTCAGGAAAGTGGAATCCCAGACTTCTACCATCTAGGGCAGGGATGTGGCCTTCCATCACCACTTACCACTAGCTATGCTGGCTATGACGACTGTCACAGTTTTAGAAAAAAATGCCTTCCACTTTTACACTTCATGTCTCCTCACTGCCAGCTAGCATTGAAAGGAATGCTGAGAATTGTGGTCCAAAGCATTTTAGACCAATGCTACCCAGCCTTGGGTCTCCAGATGTTCTTGGATGAAAACTTCCAGAAGCCTTCACCGCTAGCTGTGCTGGCCAAGATTTCTGGAAGTTCTAGTCCAAGAACATCTGGGGACCCAAGTTTGGGAACTGCTGATTTAGAAGAAGATATCAGAAGGGTGCATGGCCAGATGACACAATGGTGGTGGGAATGGTAATGTGCTCACTGGTGAATATCATGCTTATTTTATTTTCCTTTACACATGTAAATATTATTTGTTTTGTGCCATCAAGTTGGAACTGACATAGTGACCCTATTAGGGCTTTCAATATGAGATAATTAAGGAATGGGTTAACACTTCCACACACTCCATTAAGTTTCCATAGCCAAGTAGCAATTCATACTCATGTCTCCTGAGCCTTAGTCTGTTATTCTATCCATCACACCACACAGTGTATTATTAGTTATTATTTATATCCTGCCTCTCTTCCAATGAGTTCAAAGCAGCATACATGACTATCTGCTTTTCCAGCTCATCCTCACAACAGTCCTGTGAGGTAGGACAGGTCACTGGTCCAAGGTTATCAAGTGAGAGTGCAATCAGAAGGGTATTTAGCCTGCAGGCTGGTTTGCTCCTTTTTCCGATGATCACATGATGTAATTCGCTGGAGTGAAACAAATTGTCCCCAGAATGTTCCTACCTGTATCTTTCTGAGTCCATGTCAGAGGTTGCTACTTTTTTGGTGCTGGTAGGATCGCTCTGGTTTGGTCTGTTTCCAGTGCATGTGATTGCTGGAAATGGACCAAAAGTGAGCCTTCTGGCTGTCAAGGCTCCTTCTAATTAGAATTACTGATATTGTGAGCAAGCCACTTCAAGATATCAGCAAATTGAAAACTTCCTCTGCTCCTGAAGAAGTGAAATCTTTTTTTTTTTAGATTGCAGTAGATCATTGCTGATGTGCTGCATCAGTTGTAAAAAATAAAATAAAAAATACTTTCTTTGCCTTGTCTGAACCGACCAGGAGTCAGACCTAATAAGGCTACCTGCTCTGATATACCATTTGGATGCAAGGATTGCACCAAATGACATATCACAACACGAGTTTCATAGCTGACTTTTAGTGGGAACTAGAACATGGAGCACCAAAATCCCTGTCCAATTCTATAATCACTATGCCACACTGGTTATGCTACTAGTTGCAAGCAAGAAACTCTGTGAATCTGATGCCACTCCTAAGTATTGAGTATCAGCCACATTGGGTGACATTAATGGCAGTCATCATTCAGAACTTCTGGAAAGCATCGATGTGAGCAAGGCTGAGGTTCTCTTTGCTTCTGCCCATTTAAGCTTATAGCTTAAATGAAGTCCATATACATGCTCATTAGTGCATGTGCTATCACATGCACTAATGATACAACAACCACTATGCATACTGTATGTGTTCATTCATAATGTTGCAGGAGTAGTTGATTCAGTGGACACTTTTCCAAGGACTCTATTGTCGAAGATCTTCCATTTTTACCTTGGGAAGAGCCCAAGGCTGCAGAAAGTCCCATTTCTGATGGGTACAGTGCTGCTACTAATGATTGTGTTGGGTAATAAGAGTCCCATCTTCCTCATTCCAACACTCTCCAAATATATTAGATTACAGATCCTATCACCCACTGGGGATGGAAGGAGTCATAATCCCACGCTCTAGCATTGAAGGTGGGGATTGCCACTAGAGTGCAACGCCACTTTCTCCAGTCCCCAGCACGATCTATCAGTTTGTGTGTGATTTCCTGTAACTGTGAGATGTTCTGCAGGTTTCTGGTTTCTGGTCCTGAGTGACAAAATCCTGCAGCAGCTCAGGGACCAAATCATCTAATTCTTTTCGATCTGGAGTGAGATATTTCTAGGCAGTGCTCTGAGTTATTGTATTCCATGCTTTGAAAGTAAGATAAAATTCTTCACCCAGGGAAATCAGATACTATAAATTATGCAAATTGAGAAAATGTGCATAGTTCCATTCTGCATAATTTATCTTAGTTTTGGTAGTCACAAAAGTGTGTGTGTGGGGGTGTCATGGAAGTCTCCTCAGCCTCCTCACTTTTTTCTGATGTTTTACATGGCATTCTCTTTGCACTTTCTAGTTCAATCCTGTGGCCTTAAGGACTAGAAACTTGCCATTTAAAAAAGAAGAAAAGAAAAGAAGGTTGGAAGACTCAGGAAACTAGATTCTGCATCAGAATCACATTTGGGGTGGGGGTGGTTAGTGACCCACAAGGATGGATCCACCTATGGAGAAAGGACAGGTCTCTGCCCTTCCAAAGAACGCTGGCACAGAAGGATTCTGCGTCTCTCTCTCTCAGGACCCTCTTTCTTACCCTTCACTTTAAAACAAAGGACAAAACAAGCAAGCAAGCAGAAGTTACTTGTTCCCCCGCTCAGCATCCTTATGTCTTTTTCTCTACTGCTTTGGTACCTAATAGATCTGTAAAAGGCACGTCCATTCCATTCCCCTTCCCATTTTTTTAAAAAATTGCACACTGGCAGTGCACACTCACTCTTATTCTCTCTGCCTGCCTCCCTCCTGCGTGTGCGTGCGTGTGTGTGTGTGTGTAAAACACACTTTACATCCTGCCAGCAGATCAGGCACTGCTGAACTCAAAAGCTTGCTGCCTTCTTATTTTATTGAACAGAGAAGGACTGACTGAAGGAATTATTTTACCTCTCTGGGGTTATGGAGCTTTCCCAGTAATCCGTATTTGTGTGCCCGCCTGTGCGGTGCGTGTCTGTCTGTCTGGTGTTATGTCGAAAAGGACACCCCAGCAAGAAGCGGCGGGTCTCTCTTTCTCCCGCTGCAACTAAGGAAATAAAGAAATACCTCCCCATCCCTAGTTTGTACGGCGCGTCGTGAGCATCTCGGCTCTCCCTCCCTCCCTCGCCTTCTCGCCAGGCGAGGTTTCCAATCCCCAAAGGAGGGCGATCATTCTCGGCGAAGGGGGAAAACCCACTCTCGCCTTTGCTCGCTCGCCGTCAAACGCACAGAGGCGGGCTGAGCACGCAGGCACACACACACCACACACACACACAGAGACGGCTGGCCACCACCAGGGCGTCTAACCCACCTCTGGATCAGTGACTCTCTCTCTCTCTCTCTCGCCTGCCATGTCTTCCAAGGCAAGCCAGAGGCTCCCCTAGGTGATCCTGCGTGACACACAGACACACATCCGCGTACACACACGCGCACGCACACCCCAGCGCGGGCGCCGACGTGGCCCCGCACGCGCGGCGGCAATCCTTCTTCACCCGGCCAACTTCACGCGTCTTTGCCTCGGCGCGATGGAAGCTCTCGGGGAAGGAGTTGGCGGGATCTCCCGCTCCGGATCCAGACCGCCGGCGGATTGAAGGGGTTTTAATTTTTTTTGGTGGTTTTATGAGGGAGTTTTTTTATCTAAAGAAGGGAAACCGAGAAGGGGGGGCAGTTGGCGGTGCCGGGGAAGCCGCAATGCCTGTTGCTTGGAAGGGGGTCGTCGTGGCGGATTGTCGAGGCTCTCCGGCTCCCCTCCAGCAGCTCGCCTTGGTTCGTCTCCCCTCGGGCTGCAGGTCTTCGGAGGGCGGCGGCGGACACGGCCACGGCAGCCGAGGGCTGTTGGAGGCGGCCAGGGGCGGCGAGAGGTGAGTCGCGTGATTTTCAGCCCGCGTCCAGCGGGAGGACGAGGCGAGTGAGTGGGAAGGGCTCGCCTGTGGCTTGGCCGCCGGTCCGACCAACCCCGCCTGCCCGATGGATCTGGGACCGCCGATTGTCGGTCGCAGAAGCGAGGCGGAGTTCCCTGCCGGAGAGATCTGGCGCAACTTTGCCCGCATCGTGGAGAAAAAGTTGTGGCCGATTTCACGCGCGGTCGCTTCCTCCTTCTCCCTCCCCTACAGAAAGGCAAGGCAAGGCAGGCGATCCTCTCCGTCCATAAGCGCCACCTTGGAGCCTTACTCCCGAG